AAGCCTCCTAATCTCTGGATTTTAGCAGCACATCTGGCTTTATCAAATTTTTTTTATTCTGAAATATTCAGCTTTATACTTTTGTATGAAGGAGATTTAAACTCTGGAAATTATTAATTTGGAACTATTTTACACATTAGCTTAGTGGTGGGCAATACTATTTGGATTGTTTGGAATACTAGTAATACCTGAGCATCTGATCTAGCAGGTGTTGTCTTCCTGTTAGTTCTTGTGCACAGGTGTGGGGTCTCCAGGTGCTGGGGGTGGTGGGGCAGGAGTCGCTTCCCACCTGTCCAAGCCCCCCACTTCCCACACAGTTTGCTTTCTGTGAGCAGCCTTGGTCCGCTCTGGACACCTCTAGAGATCCACTGGCTTTCTAGGAGAGGGGAGCCTTGCTCCCAGCACAACCCCCTCCATCCTCTCTTTCCTATCTGGCTGTCATACCTGTGTGCCACTGGACCTGCTTCCTCTGCCCTTCTCCCTGAGGGTGAGGAGCCTCTCAGGTAGCAGCAGGGCTACAGCTCTGCATGGATAGGGCAGAGCCCATCATACAGAGCTGTGGCATCTGTGCTGAGTAATTTGGTATTTCCTAGCCTTGTGGACACTGGCAGGTGAGGGTACAGTAGCCCTGGTATTCTGCATTTCCTTGTGCTACCCCTCTGTTTCAGATACTGTGACTTCTTTCTCCTTGACCTGAGAACAGTGCTCTCAGATGTCCCTCCTTATTTCCTGTCCCCCCTCCATCTTTCTTGCATCTTGCTACAGTCCTCACTTTCATCTGTGCTGTTCCTTTCTTTCTTTGCCTCACTCTGCAGAGATGTCACCTCACTTGCAGTTCTCTGGGCATAGTCTGGTGAAGCAGAAGTAGCAGCAAGGGTATGAATTGTCGTGGTGGCAGTAATTCAAGTATATTTGAGGTTGAAGATGGTGCAAGGGCTCATGACTCCTGTGTTACCTGCCAAAAGTTTGCACAGAAGAGCTTTTGGGCTTGTATAGTGGTTGTTTTGTTTTTGTTTTTGTTTTTTTTTTCTTTTTCACAGTAGCTGTCAGGCAGCAAGTGCCTGCATGAGAAACGAGAAAGAACTAGAGTTGCCTCACATGTGAGGAGAATGCGTGGGGCACATAGCTGCCACTCAGAGGGATGGAATGATTTCAGGAAGCAGCACTGTGGTTTTCATCTGCTGTATTTAGTTTATTTCTGCAGCAGTTTCAGAAGTAAAACCTAGAGTTTCAGCTGAGTCCTTTTTTCATGGGCAGTCCCCACTCGCTAAGAACGTGAGTCACCGGTGTGCATGATGTGGTTTGGTGGTTTGAGTTATCATTTGACTTAAGTAATACATGCTGTCCACTTGTCTGTGCAGCATTGGTTAGTAGGTACTCGTTCTTTATCCTGGTGAATGGAATCAGAGCATGTTTTAAATCTAACAATGGAAAATCACCTTATTTCAGTTGTAGAAGACTTCTAAACATTGCCTTGATGAGCTGTTATCAATGATTTGAGGTTTCAGTGCTTGGTAAATGGAGCTACATCTGGCTGGCGACTGGCCACCAGAGGTGCTCCTCGGGGCTCAGTTCTAGTCAGTTCTATTTGATATATCTATCAGTGATATGTGTGCAGGAGTTGAATGCACCATTAGCAAGTTTGCTGGTGATGCCAAACTGGGAGGTGCTGTTGACGCCGTGGAGTGTTGAGGTTAACCTCCAGCCCCAAAAGAGGGTTGGCGCATGGATGATGTCCACAACCAGGCAAGAAAGGCCCTCCTGATTGGTTTTCACCCAGGGCCTGGCCAGCCTTGGGTGGGAACTCATTAGGAGATCACCACCAGGTGCCACCCACTTCCACATTAACTTGGAGGTGGGGCAAGAAGCCACCTCTATAGGAGCTGACTCTGCTTGTAGTGGGGTTGGAAGCTTTGTCTATTCAGTGTATGTGCTGTGTGGGGGATTCTGGCTATTGGAAGTGCTCCCTGACTCTTCATGACAAGTGGAGTTCCCAGGATGACAGGGCTGGAATGTGATGCTGTCTCTGAGTTCCTACTTATATAACAGGGCTCATGGCTTAGCTGCTGCTACTGCCCATGGCTTGGCTTCTTGGCTGGCTCACTCCCTTCTTATGTTCACTGTGGTGGGTGTGTGCATTGACTTGTTCCTCCCTCTGGCTGTCTGGCACTTTGGATCTCTGGTGTGGACCTCATTGCTCTCTACAGCTCCCTGAGAGGGCAAGTGGAGAGGGAGGTGTTGAGCTCTTCTCCCTGGGACCCAGTGATAGGACATGTGGGAATAGTTCAAAGCTGGGACAGGGGAGGTTGTAGACTGGACATTGGGAAGCATTTCTTTATTGACTGGGTGGTCAAACTCTGGAACAGGTTTCCTACAGTGGTTGTCATTGCCCCAAGCCTCTCAGTGTTTAAGAGGCATTTCAACAGTGCCCTTAATAACATGCTTTTGGTTGGCCCTGAAGTGGTCAGGCAGTGAGTCTAGATGATCTTTTTAAGTCCCTTCTGACTGAAATATTCTATTCTAATTTAATGTATTTCCTAAATTTTATTTAGTCTGTCATTGCTAAAAATCAGTATACTGCTGAATGGCTTGGGGAGCTGCCTTAATATGGTGCTGCTTTGGTTGTTTGGTTCTTTTGTTGGTATGTTTTGTTTTTTTCTGACATGGGAATTATTTTTCTGGAAGGCCGAGTCATTGCCATTGCTTAGTGGGTCACTTGTGGTCTGTGACTCTCTGTTCATCAGATTTTGATCAGTAATAATGTGTTAACTCTGGTTTCATCACACTTACAGATATGCTTTCACTTAATCTGAAAAACTGAAAATACCATTCCTGGTTTATTTTGAGTTTGAAGATGTATCTGACCAATTTTCTATGTATTTTTGGCTTGGTCTTTGATACTTTGTTACTTCTATTGCTGACGTGTTTCACCTGAAGTCTGGCTGCATATATTCCTATGTCAGAGGATTAATCATTGGCTAAAGAATCAGGACTTTTATTGTTCCTGTCAGACTATCTGTGTGAATGATCTTTTACCTGTTTTCCTGCAAGCAATCAAGCTGCTGAAGCCTGTTTTATTTATTACTGAGTTGCTGTTGGAGAGCTTGTGTTTATCCTGTGGTCAGCTAATTAAGTCTGAAAGGATAGCTGTTTAAATTTGTGGTTCTCTTTTTCCTGTTCACCATTTAAGCATCTGGTCTATTGAATATGTCTTTGTACGACAGAACTCCCTGAAAAATGGGGGTTTTGCTTTGTCAGAGTTGCCAAGTCCTGTGTTCTTGAGGTTTTATGTTGCTTTCATGTATGTACCTTTCTCCCCCAAGGCTTTAATTTTCTGAGGGAAACAAGAAACAAGCATGGGGCTGTCATAGCCATCTCATTTTGCATATCCTGTGTGAAGCTTGCAACCACAAAACTGGTAATCAGTGTTGTGGTTTACCCTTATTGATTTATTGTGATTTTGCTATAACTCTCCTAGCTGAAAAAGCAAAAAGAAATGGAACTCTGAAGCTGTACTTGCACAGTTTGACATCATACTGCTTTCAAAAAAGCAATCTGGGAAAATACTCCAGTGTAGGAAAGTTGATGTAGTAAAACTTGGTGTGAGGCTGTATGGATGGGGTGGAGTGGTATTTGTTTGTGAAAAAGAGTTCATTCACTCACAGAAGCTGATGCATGGGCTACACTGGCACACACTCTCCATGACATCGTCAGAAGCACCAACACATGTATGTCCAGATGGCGTGGCCAGGATCGCTCGTGTGCAACACTGATGACAAGGGATGTTGGCTGTCAAGTCTTTATCGTGCTGTTGCGGTTCTTCACGGCACGACAAACTAGTTTTTGTACAAGTCTGTTATGCCCTTCAGGGGTCAACAGCTGGTAGGGGATGGGCCTTTGCTGTGGAAACTTGCTGACTTTGGCCAAGCTGTTTCCCAGTTTTGTTTCATTTTTTATTTATTAAGCTTTTTGTTACTTTTTTTTCTTGTCTGAATGTATGTTTGAAATGCATGCCTAGGGTCTTTTTTTCTGTAGGGCCAACAGGCAGGAGAATGGTGTTTGTGGCATGCTGCAATCTTGTTACCATCTTCCTGGTGCGAGGTCTTTTGCTGATGAGTCATCTATGCTGTGGTCCCCCACAGCTAGACCTTTTGGCCATAACATAAACAGCACATTTCTCAATTTCATTGCTGGGAATAGTGTCCTGAAAACAACTTCCAGGGAATGGTGACCTTCATTATCAGTACAGACCGATCTTTAACCCTTTGTTCTGCTGTTCTGAGTGTACACACACACTTACAGTCGTACTGCAGTCATTCCAATCCCAATATTTCAGTGAAAAATATCAAGTAAATTTTAAAGAAAGTTAAAATACAAAAAAGTGCACATTGTTTTGGCAAACTCTTCAGACTGAATGTTAGCAGCTGCAGTTTAAAAGGAAGAACGTACATTTGATAGGGGGAGAAACTTTCCCACGTTTCTTGGGCTGGCTTGCTCAGGAGGAGTTCTGGAAGCTTTGCATGCAGCGAGAGCCTCCTCTGCCTTCTTTTTTCCAAACTTCCCATCTGGTTTATTCATCAGAACTGAAGTATTGGATGCATTCTTCTCTCTGCAACAGTTTCTAGATGATCAGTGTTAGTACCTTCCTTAAAAACATTCATTTGCTGAAGCTGAACCATTTTCAAATCATCCCATCTACACATTGAACATCGGGGAAAGTATTTGCTTTTTATGCAACTAGTTTTTCATGGGATCCATTGTATGGTATATTAATAACAAAGATGACAGGGATGGGCTTGTTGTTTGTGTGGGTGTTTTTTTCTAAATCTCCCCTACACTTTTTTCAGTGGGGCTCTTTCTATCAGAATTGGTCAATTCAATTGAAGTCACTGTTATAATATGTTTTAACTGTAGGTGCTGAAGTCAGCTGTGCAGTCGGCAAGGGGATGTGATGCTTTCTCACCTCGTTTCTCTCCTGTTCTCTCCCTCTGTATGTACAGGTTATCCTAATGTTTGTCTGTGTGTTGACAAAGGAATCTGTAGAAATTGCTCCAGTGCCATATACATTGCAAGCCCATTGGGTAGCTTCAAATGGAAGAGACCCCTCTAACCCCTTGAGGAGAGAAAAGAAGCAGGTGCAGTGTCAACTAGGACAATACCTACATCCCAGAGGGACTCACTGCTGCATGAGATGCCACGCAGGTATGTAAAAATATGTATTTATAGTGACCTTCACCTTAGAGGCATTTTCCTGTCCTGCACTCTCAAACTGTCCTAGAGCTACATTAGTGTTCCCTTTCCTTGGTACCTATCCCTACCCAGTTAAATTCTTATCTCTTGTCTCCTTTGGGCTGTCAGTGTCCTTCACACTGGTGAGAAGAAGCGTACTCAGTCCTTACACCATTGACTCCAGGGTTTCTCTGAGGAGTGAACAACAACCTAAGACAACACATTTGCCTTCCTGTCAGAGCTCTGTTAAGTGATTTTTCTTGCAGGTACCTACAAGGCAAAAGACTGTGATCGGCCTGGCCAGGCACCTGTCTGTCTCCCCTGTGCTAATGGCACATTCACGGCTGTTGATAACACCATATCTAAATGCTACCCCTGTACCCGTTGCCGTACAGGTGAGTTAGCTGTAGGACCTGAGAGAAATGGAGGGGAGGGGGAGTGGCTGGAGGGGATGTCAAGGTGAGTGAGGAAGCTTGGAAAAGTAAACAGTTGAATGGGCAGAAGGACAGCATATGGGAAGGGATTTGCGGCAGCAGGAGTAAGGGTTACCAAATTACTACAGTTTGAGACACAGCTTGCAGGCTTTTTGGCCCTTTTTCTGGGAGGATTAGGGGATAATACCTGTCATTGTAACAATGCTCTCAGGTGAAGTTCAGAATAATCACTTCTTTCGTTCCTCAGAATTCCAACAGATAGTGGAGAGTCCCTGCACCCTGAAGCAAGATACGGTGTGTGGCTGTCGGAAGAATCAGTATCAGATCTCCATGTTCGACTTCTTCCAGTGTAGGAACTGCAGCTCGTGTGCCAATGGGATTATTGCCAACTGTGAGTACGGCTTGGATGTGGCTCTGGTACTGATGTACTCTACTAGGGTAGACATTAACAGCCCTCTTCATTTTTGGACAAGGTGCAGCACCTTGCCCTGACGTGACTGTAGTTTCGGAACAACTCTTGGTTTTACCTGCCCCCTTTCTCCAGAGAGGCTGCCATTTTTTTGCCTGCATTGGCATCAATCCCAGTTTTCTATCACAGTTTCTACCTTCCTTTTGTCCTTGAATATTTTTTTGGTTTTGGCTGTTTTGAGGAGATACTTCCTCTTTAATTTGTGTACCTCAGCCTTGCATGTACTGAAGCCAGGTCTTTGTGCTTCAGAGCAAACTTCCTGCATACCTTCCTTTTTGTCTGTGTGGATATTTCTCCTGATGATCATAGTATTTCCCTCACCAACTGCTGTAAGAACTTTGAGTACTGTGGCTGAAAGTACCACTGGTCCTAGTGCCCAGCTGAACTGCTCAGTCAGTCACTTATTGCATTGCCACATCCTACTGTCCAGTGTTTTAAAGTAAGGAGCTGCTCAGGTAATACTGAACTCTACCCAGTGGCTTTGGGTGTGGCCTGGGGATGGTGAGGGGTCTGGAAGAAGTACCTCTGTTAGCTGTCCCAAGCTAGCTGTCTCCCATATTGTGCTGTAATCTAATTCTGTTTCTGTCCATTAAATGCTTCTTACCTTGTCCTAAAGCTGCACCCCTCTTTGCAAGTTCTGCTTCTTCTGATCCCTTTCCTGTCTCTTACCTTGCCTAGCCTGAAGCTTGCTGTCTCACTGCTGAAGTTGTTCCCTTTGGTGCTCAGTAATCTTTCTCTGTCAGTTTCTGCACTCGCACCTATCCTCAAGGGTCATTACTGTACACTGCCCTTGAGCAATTTCCTCCCTCTGGGATGATTTAGAACTGTTTGAGTCCTGTCCCTCACTTGCCACACAATGCATGCTGCTTGTTCTAGTACCTTTTCCCCTCCCCTCATGCAAATTTGTCCTTCCATCACTATTCTAGTCTACTCCTCCTCACACCTGTTTTACTCAGTACCCCATGCTGTGACTGGTTTTGCAGAAATAGCTCTTTCATTTCTTGTCCCTTCTGCTCACAGTGTAGCAGATCACAAGAGTGGGCATGTGTCCTATAGCTTGAAGTGTTTTCTCCCTCCCCTGAACTGACTTCCTCACCAGTCCCAGCTGCTCAGAGACCACTTCTCCCTCATCTTTGCCTGACTATGTGGTTTCCCCTTCCTGTCACGCTTGAACTTTAATGACTTTCTGTGCTTTTGCACCAGAGTTGTCATTATCCATTAGACCAATTTCAGCTGCACTGTAATCCCTTTCCAAGCTGCTGCAGAGCTCCTCACCCTACCAGGGCAGTGGTACCCTTATTCTTTAATTTTATATTCCTCCAACCCTGTCCTCAAGCACAGACTGAATCCTTTTTTCTCTTCTTCAGTAGCAGTTCTCCAGGCTCTAAGAGGGATAGTCTCCCACACATCTTGGAGTAGATTTTTCTTTTTGTTACCTTCTCTGCCCAGATTATGGCAACCATTTCTTCTTTCTGCAGGCTCAAAGAACAGAGACACGATTTGCAGGTGTAAGCCTGGCTTCTTCCTGACACTGAGTAACGTTTGCAAGCCTTGCAACAGGTGAACTTTTTCCCCCTCTATATGCTCCTTCACTGAGTAGGAGAGACAGCAAACACAAGCCTCACAAAGGGAGAATTTTTTTTTCCTCAGGACTCTATCAATCTTGACATAACTTCACAGTATTCTGCCTTTCTGGGGCGATTGGGTTTTCCTCTCTGCTACCTTCAGTCTTCTCCATGTAGGCATCAGCCCAATAAGAACCCAAAGTTACTAGCTACAGTGGAATGCCCTGCTTTGCAGGCTCATCTTGACTTGTCTGTTACTTAGGATTGTTGCAAATGGCTGGTGTTTCATTTTGTGCACAATCACCTCTCTGATTTGCTTTTTCAGCTGCATTGGAGAAGAATGTTTGCAGTGTCATAGCCCAGTGACTACCTCACCGACTTCATCTGGGCCGAGTGAGTACTGGGCGAACTGAGGGACAGTGGAATCTTTTCAGTGTTGGCTTTTGTTCTGTTAAGGTTTTTTGTAAAGTGTTTTCTCCACTCTAACTATTATTAATTTTCTCCCTACCATTTGCAAGTCTTCACTTAGTCCAGCACTTACCACCTATTTTCTCAGTTGCTCACTCATTTGCTATCTTCCTTTTGTCCAGATGGGAGCCTTGTCCTTGGCATCATAGTGGCAATATTCGGCATTATCTCTGTCCTCTACGTTGTAAATAAAGTAGTGAAGCTGGTCCGGGGAGATGGGATGCCATCATCTTTCTACTCCTGTGGTGAGTACAGCAGCATATGCAGTGACATTAATTGCTATTAATTGGGGTTGACATCGTTCTGTGTTTGTGTACGTGCACACATGTGAGGGGAGAAGTGTGGTCGTGTTACTCTGCCTCACTGCAAGGCCAGAGGAACATGAGAACGCAGCAGCTGAACTTATCGGTGCAGTTCTTACAACTCTGCATCTGTGCCCAGAGCTGTGACTGGAAATGCCTGTGAGCTCATTGCTGGGAGATGTGTTTTGCTGTAAAACCTTTTTGAGGGCAGGATTGTGAAAAGTTGCTTTCCTGTTTTCTCTGGGAAGAGAGGAAGTGAAAATAATTTCTGCTTTTCTTTTTTTTTTTCTTTAAAGTTTCTTTGCTGCACGCAACCAAGGAGCCAGTATCTGAGGTGAGCAGATGGTATACAATGGGTATAAGTGCTTTCCTTATACTTTCAACTATGTTAGCCTGGAATCCAGAGTAACATTTTTCTCCATGGGCTGTTTCCAGGCCTAGTGTTTTAAAATGAGTTGAGTAATAGGGCTGTTTAATTTGGACATCTTTTCCTCTAGTGGATAGAACCATTAGAATTTTACTTCCCCTTCTGTAGGGGATGTTTTTCAAATTCCTGGCTTTTTGGTTTTTTTTCTTTCTGGATGCGCTTTTTTTCCACATAGTTAGTCCTTAGTCCCTTTCCCTCCCTATATAACCCAAGGTTGGAGGATTTAACTAATTTTACTTCACTTCAGATATTGACTTCTTAGTGCTGCTTCACAGTATTCTCTCAGGTCCAGTGTTCTGCAGTGAAGGCCCAAGCAGTAGTTGAGGTGGGGTTTCCACAGCCTTACAGAGAAGGCTGATGAGAAAGCTGGTGTGTGGAGCTTCTAGCATGGTGGTGATTTTGGGCTTCCAGGCTTCCTTGATTTTGTAAAGCAACATTTTTTCCAGATGCTGTTTTTTGGTGCCAAAAGAGTTAAAATTCTTGGGTTCTGCTGGAAATAAATGTTTGGTGCCTTCTGCTCAAACAAGTTATACAAGAAGAATTAAAACATCAACATCTGCTCCCCACCTATCTTGGATAAATTTTTGTATATAAAGCTAGCAGTTCCTGCAGGAGACAGGTGTATTGTGCTGCTGTGTGTGACTCTGGACTAAGAAAATGTGTCTTTCAGGTTGAGGTAAAAAGAAATGAAATTTCCATCCTTGCTCCCGAGTCCCAGAAGGAAATAGAATTGTCAGTGAATGCCACACCATCTGCACCTCTGCTGCAAAGTTCACAAGAGCTACCAGACTGTGTCAGTCCTGCCAGGAAGACACAGCTTCCAGACAGTAAGTGAAAATCCCTCATCCTTCCCTCCTTCCACAGGCAAACAAGAAGGTGATTATGCAGATGCAGCTAGGAGGATGCTGGACAGGCATAACCTGTCTACTTCATGCATGGCACAGGACACAGTTTGCCTGGGGCCTGCAAGGCTGTGTGCTAAACATCTGTGCAAGGCCTTTCTGTTGTTCCTTTTCCCTATCAGCAAAATGGATAGTCATACGTAGTGACGTGCTGTCAGTCTTAGACCCTGGGGTGATGACCCAGAACATGATTTTTGCAGGAATGTGTGGCAGTTAGGCCCTAAGCATGTGTGCTCAGGTCTGCTCATAACCTTGCACAAGAGCATCTGGAAACATTCCCATTGCTTTTTGAGGCTGGAGAGCAAGTCTGGACATCACACAAGTCTGTGTGACTGCTGTAAAAGACCTAAGCAGGAGGACAAACGCACATGATCGCAAGGCACCATTCCAGCCTTGGATTACTCATATTCTCCTTGAGGCTGCAGAATCCTGGTTCTCACCCATGGTCTCATCTCTCTTCACAGACCCTGTTATTCTCTACACGGTGGTGGATCACGTGCCGTTCTCCCGGTGGAAGGAGTTTGTGAGGCGGCTGGGCCTGAGCGACTACGAGCTGGAGCGAATCGAGGCGGAGCACCGGCACTTGCGGGACGCCCAGTACGAGATGCTTAGACTGTGGAAGCTGCACATGGGCCACGCCGCCACCGTGGAGTACATCAGCTGCGTTCTCAACCAGATGGAGCTCAGTGGCTGCAGTGAAGCTATTCAAGAGGCTTTGCTAAACCAGAACTCTCTTCAACCTTGCAGCCTCCACAGCCATCTTTAATATATTCTGCTTTAGTTGCAGAATGTTTGCTACGACTGTTAAAGAGAGAATCGTAGCTTCCTTCCTTTTTCCATACCTCCCTGTTTTTCTACCACTCCTCAGATGGCTTTGTTGGAGACAGCAGCAGTTTATGCTGGAGGAAGGCTGAGGTTTGCTTCTTGAGTAGTTCAACATCTTTAAGCCAGACAGACCTCTGGAACAACTCCTTTCCCAAGCAGGGAAAGCACCTCAAAGGATCTCTGACCAAGCTGAAAACGGGCTTGGAGTGACTTGTCTATACAGCAGCTGATACATCAAGTTGTTGCTGGTACAGGTGCTCCACCCACCATGTGGTGGGTAAACTTGTAGGGTGACTTGGTTAAGCTGTCTGTACAGAATGGTAAAGCACTTGCCCACTTTTTGCAGATCTGTTTTTCTGCAAGAGCAGATAGCTGAACTGGCTCACATTGCAGCCTTTAGACTGCTAAACCTGAGGAGGGAAGCTGTGGGAGGATGTGCCTGTGTCTGGGAGCGGGAGAGCATTGCCCCCTTTCGGTACCGACTAGGGATCGCTGCGGCAGAAGAATCGCCGAGATTCAAAGCGGTGGCTCCATGAGAAACGGGAGGACGTTTTCCTTTCCACACCCCCATTTCCCTCAGGTTCAAGAAGAATAAGCATTCCGAGCCAGCTAGTCAGACAAGAGGGTTGGTGCTTTTTTTCACAATTTTTTTTTTTTTAACTTTTCTGTACCTAGAACCCATGTAAGATAGCATTAACAAAACATCTGCTTGTGTGTTTGTCCAAGTGCAGAGGGGAAAGGAATGCATGTGTCTGCCTGGGTGAGAAGGTACCTATATACCTGGTAGCTGAGTCTCTGCAAATCTGTGCTTGCACACAGGTTGGTAGGCTTGTGTCTTTCTGTCTTTAAATCACAGAATGTTAGGGATTGGAA